TCAATTGATTATGTGAATATGCAGAGTATGAAAAGTGGAATATAGATCAAAGAAGATAACTTTCGTCTGATTTTTACTGAAATTTCGATTTATTGAACCATTTTTTTAATATTCTCTACAAAATAAATGGTAAATAAATAATAAGTGGATTTTTATATTGAATTCAATCCTTAATATTTTTCAACACACCTGAAATCTTCACGAAGTATATGAAACAGCTGAATTATGAAGAAAACATTTCATACTATCCAAATGACTCATCACAAATGATGCACTAACGTTTATAGTCCATTATGAAACACTAAGCACTACTACTATTAAAGAAATTCCAACCAAGAAACGATAATTCATAAATAATAACAAAGAAATGATATGAATTGTGGAAAATACACCTACATTCGATATTACAATTTTAAATTGCACAAATGGCATGAGACTATCTGGAAATGTCAAAACAAGCTTGTGTCCACCAACTTCCAGCAGTTAAATCTGATTTACCACTGAATGTGGCAGACGATAGGTAATTACTGGATCCAGGCTCTGGATAGAAGTTAAGCGATTCAGAAAGCGCTATAAGCCGCGTCAGAGCTTTCAACAAAACAAAAACGGGTCGGTGGAAACATCAGAGTTTCTATGCATCTTGTTATTAGTCTTTGTCATGATTCATGAAAAACCTGTGTAGTCACCGATTCGTATTTGTTTCGTGGAAAGCTCTTGTTGCAATTACATAGATTGAAGTAACTTTCTGTACATGTTGATAAATAGTACTAGAATCGAATACCGTACCGCGTTCACCATCTTCCATCTTCCTTTTTCTATTATTTTTGATATCGCTCTTGAGTTATTTTTAGCAGTTGGTATATTAACACTCGTTTCTGATTCTGTTTCTCATGATGTTGGGAATTCACTGAAGAATTACGTTCTTTCCTCGAAATTAAAATGTAATGTTTCAACGGGGTTACGAAAAGTCTTGAACGACACACGGCCGATACGCAAATAACGGATTCGGTTGTTATAACGTTAATAACTATTTCCAAACTTTCATTTCAATTCTATATTCATATGAATCTTGTTATTCTAATCGGGTCATTCGTGACAAGATCAGAAATTGAATTCTGCCTTTTGATAGGTACGTGGGTGGATTGTATACATATATTGTATATTCAAAGGAATGGCATCTTTTGAACTTCACTTCTGGAAACCAAACCGATGTTCGCCCAAGAAACGTTCATATATTCATAGCACACAGTATTAGTGCTGTGATCAAAAATGAGTTAATTCGACTTCAGAACTTTGTTATTTAATGAAACGTAAATGAAGGAGTAGAATGCTGATTATGGTTCTGAATTTCCCCCAACATTCGACCTTGAGCTATGATCACGTCATATGACCTAGAGTAGGGAGTTTGAACTTGATGATCGGCTCTGTCCCCAGAGCCGACCATCAAGTAGATCATATGAACAGAAAATGTCTTTGTCATTGTCATATAGGCAAACATATTTTATATGCTTCAGGCGTAATTTAACAATTTTTTTATGGATAATTTGAAATTTCACATTGGAAAAATCGATTACACGATTATTTATCTTAATTAAATTTCATAGCAGAGACCCATAACATCACTGGTAATCGATAGAAGTTATATGTATATTTGTTTCTTTATTAACCTTCGAATGTAAAATAGTTTCCTTTTTTGTACCTTATTGGGCGACCTGTGATAAGCAGAATATTGTAGCAGTTAACAAATGGAGTTGCACAATAAACCGTTTGAATAGACTTAGCTGTGTTATAATTTTCACACCTTGCTCATCAACTCAAAACTCTGAAGACCTAACAGCTAAACCCATCTAAGTAGTTTTATTGGATGAGGAAAGTAATACCCCTTTCGAATTATGGGTTCCATGTTCACAGAACATTTTACAGAAGCCATTATTTGTACAGTGAATTCATTCAAAGCCAATTTCATTTTCGCATATATGACTCATTGCCGTTAGTAAAATTCGATATTTCAGATTGAAGGTTTTGATTATAACTCCAATCTCTTCGTAAATAGTGAAAATAATACATATTCATAAGAAATATGTATTAACTCTCATGCTTCAAACATGGTCAAATTTCAAGTGACTGCTTTTTTTTTCACAACACAACTTCCAAATTAATGAATGCAATTTGTATATTTTCACACAAATATGTGGATGCACAACACAGCCAAAGAATGGCCAGAAGCAGTGAATTCGGATTCGACTTTAAGAAAGGCGGCATGGGAGTTAGCCGATCTGAGTTTTGATGACTCACATTCATCAAATGAGGATTTGAGTGTATGTTTTGATGCTAAAGAGGTGCGAACCTTTATAGAGCATAGCGAGAAATATGAGCTTGGTGTGGCACTATGTCATAATTATTTGTATAAAACTGAAACTTCGGATGAATTTTGTGAGATGACTTGGAGCCTATTCTTCCTGACATATACCTTCCGCAGAATATCATAAAGAAATATCAATTTATATCATAGGATCCCAACCCTTAGGAGGAAATAAAGCATGTGTGAGAAGGAAAAAGTGTAGCTTTGAAAAATGAAACTGTGATTAATTGAAATACGTTGTATAACTAATACGTATTATGAATTAAACCATGTTGAAATCATATTTGCGTTCATCTAATTGGATAATGAATAGAAGGCAAAAAAATCATAATTCAATTCGGACAGAATTAGTGAGTGTTTTATTTATCAATATCAAACATTCACATGTAAATCTTATTAAATCCCAGTTTGAACAGAGCCTTTAAGGGCATCGTAAATGATGAGTGCAGAATGTATATACTTCAATGTGTACTGAAAAACTTGACTTTGCGCCTTTCAGACTCTACTTTGGCATCTACCGTGATTTACTTTATGGCATCGAATTGATTGAGAAGTCGATAGTGAATAGTTACTGCGGAAGCTTCCAATATCTATCATTGGTTCACTCAAAGCTTTATGGTAGCTACGTTGAAAGTTCTCACATGCATAATAGGCTAATGGATTTAACTTCTTGTCGAAATTCAGATTTCATTGCTCCAATGACTATACTTCAGCATACAAATATAGACGAATATTATCAATCCTCGCATGTATGAATTTCGTTACATCCTTTAATATACTCTCGGATTGATCGGTTGGTTATCTTGACGGCCCATATATTTGAAGATCCCACATACGATAAGCCCGTTTCACTTCCGTACAATATGTCTGATTCTCCATTCTGTTTTATTCATTTTCAAATCTGCATCGACTTCTCCAATGAATTAATTTTTGAATGAAAGTGCTATAATCAGAATGAGCTACTGCTTTACATTCGATATTTCTTTATTCCAATCTTCTGCAAAACTCATGAGATACTTCAAAGGTAATTCATTGCTGAATACATTGCTGACGGAATATATCTTGTTTATTCACATCAAGCCCCCATCCAATTGGTAGTAGCAGATTTTCAGGTGTTTGTCCGAATGATGTGTTTGGAATCACCCGTTGAGAGGTAAGACCTCGTTAGTCCTTAGCTTGCACAAGTTTCTCAATTTCTGAGAGTTGTCGTTCGTATGGGGGCGATAGCTGATTGAATAGATTTTTTGTTATCGTTTTCATTTTGATGGTTATGCCGGTTTTTGAATAACAGGCACTTGCCCGCCACATATTCCATAGCGAATGTCATCGGAGAGAAAGGCGTGGATGTTGTTAGGTAGGTTGACATTAGATGGTGTGATCATGAAGGCTAATCACAGCTGAACACTTTGTCATCAAACTCCAGAAGTTCAGCAATGGTGTCTTCATGTTTGAGAAGGATGTAATATTTCAACCTCATTTCACATTTTAGAGTGTTGTTTGCTTGAAAGAGAAATACTTGGTGAAATTTTCAATGGTGGGGGTGAGTTAATTTTTTGCGATTAGTCGAAAACGTTATTCTACATCAAACATGGAGTTGTAGAAGTAGGAATCATGTTTACCAGAGGTATCCAACTCGATGGGTGGGTAGAAGTTGGCGCCCACCTCGCTAGAGTACCTCGACAATGAAGACTTTCGTGACACTCGTGACAATCCATTAGAGGTCGTATAATGTGACCAAGCCCAAGATAATGAATCAAAGGCAGAATAGATCGTTAAGGTCGTATTCCGTGCTCAAAGTCATATGTCGTGTACACAGCCCAAGGTGGTGTAGGATCATTCAAGGTCGTATGACATGCATATTGCTCAAGGTCATGTGACGTCAACCAAGGCCAAGGTCTAGTGGTGGGGAAGGTTCAGCAATTTTCCAATCACGTGATCATACTCCAGTAGTGAGTTGAATTAGGTTGAGTTAAGGTGAGTTATGTTAGGTTAGGTTAAATCAAGTTAAGTTGAGTTAACACAATTGTAGAGAATAGGGAAAACTTCCATTCATGGTCACATGCAAGGAAAGATCTTTGAGAAGGTTGCGAATTGATGAACATAAATTCCTGGCCAGCTATAACATCAAAGTTAGTTAGTAAATGTTTAAGCTAGACCCAGTTAGATAATGCACTAGCACTTGAAATATCATATTTGGAAAGAAAATTAAAAAATACAACCACTTGAAAAAACTCCTTCTCACTTCCTACTACCTATTGGTATATAAATAAATGGAAATAAAAAAGATGTAATAATCATTAATATAAATTATTCAAGAAAATATCAGCCAGATTTTTTTCACATTTGAACTCTGATATTGAATCATACTGAACAAATATAATGTCAACTGACTCAGATATTGTTCGTGGGAAATGCTACTTTACGTGAATATTGCTGATGAGCAGTTTGAAATTAGAGTTTTAGCCACATTTGTGAGTTAAAGGGATTCTTCTCATAATACAATGAATAATAGCTGTATCATTATCCATTGGGAAAGTATAGTTCTCAGTTGATTTAATTCAATGTCCGTAGGGTGGAGTAGGTGTTTCAAAAGTACCTTATTCTTTGACACTCAGAAACATCCATCATTTTTTTTCAGGAAATAGTGAGTTTCCTATGGAATGGAGAAATGTGTCCTGGTTTTTCGTTCTTTCTAAAACCACTAATGGCTACTTCTCCAGGAATGTTCAGTTTACTTTTTGGTTTGAAAATGATAGGTGGGGATGACTACGAACAGATAGATCCTGTAAGTGTTACTCATTTCATCAGTGAAGCTAATCTCCACACTCTGAAACAAGAGTAATGCCCCCAAGGAACTTGAGTCAGATTGATGACTATCATCTTCCTTTTGAATTCAATTCGCATAAAATTATTATATACTTTCTTATTTACACAAAATAGTCTGCTTCTTCAAAATGGTTTACTGAAGAGACCAATTGTACATTGCTGTGTAAAGTATCGTCTATAAAATTTATTTTTTGAAAGATTTTGAAGTTTCATAAGATCTGTTCCACATTACACTTTTGCTCTCTGATAGATAGAGATTTGTATTTGATTCATTTTCGATCTCTACAGATCATTATTCGTTTGATATTGTAACCTACCATGAAAATTTTGCTGTTATCAATTGTCAAATGTGACACGTCACCTCACACTTTGATAAAAAACATTTACCAATAAAAATATTAGTTGAATGTATAAGTAACTTTCCCTCACTTTCCACTCGCAACTCAATATAATTATAACTATATATTGGTTTCAATTGAAATAAAAAACTTCTTGGTTGAATGGTAAAATATCGTGAAACTCCGTCAAGATAAAAATAAAGACCATTTATTATTATCATCATTATCACCATATCAACTATTTCAAATCATTTTGGTCCAAAGTCTCAGCTTCATTATTGAATAATCATTTCAGCTTTTAATTTTTTTTTCCAGACAACTTTCCCACTAGAAATGAATCGGATGGTGGATACTATAGGTTCAGAAGTTTATACACATTTAGTTCAAATACACATCTCAGGAGTTTTCCAACATTACGATCATGGCAAAGAAAGAAATTTAGAAACTTACGGAACTCCAACTCCACCACCCTATGATCTATCAAAAATTCCGGTGCCGGTCGCCATGTTCTTTGGTGCTAACGATTGGCTTGCTACACCGAGGGTAATAGATTCAGAACGTTTCATTTAAAATAATTTTATTACGTTCCGTGGTTAAGAATCACTTACATCGATATCACAACCTCTGCATTATCAGTTGTTGATCATATTGAATATTACTAGATGTTTATCCCAACACAAAACCGTTTTTTTAAACACCTTGATACGTGTTTCGATCACAAGATTATCATATTGTTCTGTTTCTTCCATTTGATTTTGTCTTCGGAGGTATAACAACTCTTTGACTCTTGACTCTTTATGTTCAAATAGCAACAACTAACATTCTCGCAAAGATAGGTATGTAAATTCAGAATGTTTCATGCCAAAACACATCATTTCTACTCACATTTTCATTCTTGAACACCACATAAGCACTATTTGTACAATCATTGGATAAAATCAGATTTGATATGCAAAGCCCTTGGCGAATCCTTTATAAAATTGCTCAAGAGTACATTTGGTTTGTCTCTCATTGATAATATTCGTAATGATAATATTCGTAATGATGAATGATTACCCCATTCAAGTTAAAAGACAGCATTTCTGTTGATCCTTCTCCCTATTTTTGACTGAAGTTTGAAGGTTCATCATTGATGATCTTCTGTATATCGTAAGATGCTATCCCCTCTTGATCTTCACCCTTCGAGTTTTCCTTCTCCAAATATTTTACACATATTTACACTCAGAATACAACAATATCGCGACAATTGATAAAGTGAAAAAAAATTATCTGGATTCAGCTTTGCAGACTTCCTTTTGCCATTCTGGCACTCACTATCATTCAAAATGATGCCGATATGAGGTGGGGTATTATGCACGATGGAGTTTTTGAAATGACTAATCAGTTTCACTTATGGATACTTGTCTTACGGTCCAGTCTCATCCAGAATTCTGTTACAAGTTTCTGATCATTCTATTTGTCGTACACTTCTATAACAAGTCCGTATATCAATTCAGTTATCATGAATTTCTTTCCTGATGCTGAATCAACCTGGTTCTTCTCTATTCAAGTCGCATCAATTTCTCTCCTTTCAAGCTTTCTTGTGGCCATTTTTGTTATAGGTAATTATTTCGCCTTTCATTTTATGAGTTTCAGGAACTACCCAAGGGTCCCAAAGGCAATACTCTGGTATTGTGAATTGTCAAAAATAAGCACTTTTCCCAAAGACCAGAACTACAATACCCTACTCGACGCGCGCGGCAGAAGTGCTTGTTCACTTTTTCCCAATAATTGTTTTGAAAAGTTTACTGTTGTGTATTTGGAAATAATGTAGTATCCAAAACTATTCGTAAATTCTTAGAAATCCATTTATGATCTCACAGAATAGTTTTTTCCATACACTCATTTTTCTAATATATCCACATGATCAATGCTGTCGTTAGACTAATCCTATACAAATTCCCCCCAGAGAAAGCACGAAAATTTCCATTCCTCCGCTGAAACCTTTTTTCACAGTTCAATATTTGGTACGTTTTGAGTTAATTGAGTAACTATTCGTTTTGATGTTTGATCTACTTTCCATTTCAGAACGCAAAACAAGCCTACTCTGAACTACAACCTTCTCTGCGATGTGGTTATCACGCTGTTCCATTCGAGAAATGGAATCACTTAGATTTCATCATTGCCAAAGACCTTCCAAAATACCTTTATGAAGATATGTTCCACAAAATTAATGATATAGATTCAGGAAAATGTGTTCCATGAAGATTGAAAAAACTAGAAACAAAATATGTAGTGAAAGTATTCATTAAATTATGAGAAAACAATTTTGTTTTGATTTTCCGATCCAATGTTATGGCTCCTATATATACCAAGATACAATATTCAGCTCAATTCAAAGAACTCAAATAATATTTTTTTATGTTATCATTAATTTGATAGCTTGTTATCACTGTTTGTTTCTCGCCAATTTTGAACTACAAATTCATTAATATCATATACTATTTGAATTGAAAGGGTTATATTTTTAGGAGTGATTAATTTTTGGGAAAGAAAGTTTTTGGCTTTCTACTATTCCATCTGATACAAAAAAAAAGGGATGAGAGAATCTTCCAAAGAAAGGAAGGAAGTAATCAATTTGAAAATAAGTAACTCTATACATGGATGTGTAGATCATGCAAAGAAATAACTTTCAGATTCACGACGTTTCGATTGTTGGTATCTACAATCGTCTTCGCGTGATGACTGGACTGATTCCTCCGAGAGATGACTATTCATGGGTCGTTCGAGTACTTTCACTTATCCCCGTTTTCCATTTTCCGCTACACTGGTTTAGTGGGAGATGAGCGTTTGGCGGGAGTTGGCCATTTTTCGCTTGATGATGGGTTTCCATACGTTGCGTATCTCTACGCTAGCTTGGCTGAATACTTTGTTGGACAACATGTATGCGGCTTCCTTGAATTTTCTCCCAAACCAATGTTTCTCTCTGTGTATGATCTCAGTTGGGACCACTCGATGTTGTGTTGATGGGTACAAACATGCTCTGCTATTCCTGATTTGCTGGTTTCCCCTCGCTGTGTGTGTTTATTGTGCTTGGCAATGCGAACATTCAATGGCCTCTTAGTTTCACCAATATAGGATTTCCCGCACAGGGTATCCGGTAAATGCAATTCTTGGAATCGCAGTCCGCGTTTGGTGGCCTGGTTTTGGTGAGGCTACTACGGATAGTGTTACCGGATCTGAAGCAGGTTCTAATGTTGTAATTGGAACCAATTCTTTTTATCCTCTTCGATAATCCTCTGATGTAGGAAAGTGCAAGCACTGGTTGTGACGGGTTCTCTTTCTTGCGAGGCTCCTGCTGTCTTTTAGCCAAAGTCTTTTCTACCATCGCTCTGGAGTAGCCATTCCGATCATTTTTGATGATGTCTAGTTCCTTCTCGAGACCTTCCTTCGTATTACAGAGCACGAAAGCACGGTCTAATAGAGTCTTGATGATTCCTCTTTTAGTCGATTGATGGTGGTTGGATTCGTGGTTCAGATACTGTCCCGTGTGAGTGGGTTTTCGGTATACAGATGTTTCCCACTTAGTGTCGGTCCTCTTCACCAAAACGTCTAAGAATGGCAATTCGTTGTGGATTTCCTTCTCCATTGTGGAAGTGATGGAAGGTCTCACGCTGTTGATGGGTTTCAGGAAGACGTCTAGTTCAGTATTCCCATGGTTCCATATTATGAAGGTGTCGTCAATATATTTCTACGAGACTCGAGGTTTCTTGTGGGCTTCTTCAATGGCCAGAGTTTCAAACCACTCCATATATTTGGCTATGACTGGTGAAAGTGGCGATCTCATTGGCAGTCCTTCATCTTGTGTAAAGAATTCGTCCTTCAGTTGGAAATAACAGTTTCGTACACAGCATCCTAGTAATTCCATAATTACTTCTATATAGGGAGATTCGTTCTCTTTCAGGTTCCCGTCTTTGGATGGCTTTCTCTGTATGATTTGGAGTGCTTCTTCGACCGGAACGTTGGTGCAAAGGCTTTCCACGTCGAAACTATTCAGTTGATCTTCCTGTGTGACTTCAATTGACCCTAGTAGTTTGACAAAGTGCCTTGAATTCTTCACAAAAGACGATGTTTCTCTTTGTAATGGTTGTATTATGGGAAGTAAAAATCTAGACAAGTGAAATTCAAAATCTAGGAAGTTGATACAATCAAGTGACTTCAATAGCCGGAGCACTATAATTATAAATAATGAAAAGATCACGAATAATAGATAGAAACGTTCGTTTGAAGGTGGTTGACAATCTTTCGTGGTGTATTTCATTAGTTTGGACTTACATTGTCTAATATAATATATAAATTGATTTGAAATCCCTCAAAGAGTCTATTATATCATACTAGTACTATGTTGTTGTATCGCTGCTGTTCCAATGTTTTGAAAGAATCAAAATCAACGAACTTAGGCGTGCGCAGCGTTATAGAACAGTGCTTTCAAAAAATAGTTCTACAGCGCCATCTAGTGGCGAATAGCAGAAAAATTGATAGCCTAAAAACCTTCTCTATGAAAAATTACTCTGTGAATATTCATCCACAGAGTAGAAATAATTCACTAACGAAAGCAACTTGAATGTTGTAGACAAACTCTATTAGTACTTCGTCTTCAGCTTACTCTCTGCTACAACAACGTATCCAGATCGAGTTTCTGACCCTATTGTTAACGAACCGCAAACGAATGATACTCCTTATAATTCCTAAAATCCAGTTCAGTCCAGTCCAGTCAAAGAAATAAGTCTCCGGGGTGATTTTTTATATCCAAGATTGAGTCAGATTGCGCCTTAAGACTGACAAATCTGGTCACCAGTGCTAATAATCCTCAACCACCTATGATGAATACAAGTGAGTTAACAATTTTTCACCTAATCAATGTTTGTCAAACAAACTAGATGAACTATTGTTCTTCTTAGATTATAATAAATAGTTACAAAATCTCTCACAACCATGAATATAACACCAGATCTGGCGACTTCTTGGAAATAACCAAACTGTGTTTGACAACTTCAAAAATTAATTCTTGGAACTTGAATCTATTTAATAAAATTCCGTCAAACTTAAGAAGTCTTAATTTTAATCAGTTCATAATCAGAATGAAACAATATTTCAAATCTGGATAATTTTACAGTGTAGAAGAATATTCACAAAATAATTTTTGATATTATTATATAGTTGTATATGTGAGAACATATAAGAATAGACTGTTGGTAGTTGATTTTAGTATTAAAGTTGTAGATTTACGAAATTGTTAGCCTTTTGTGAAATGGTTTGTTATCATTGTCATACATTTTGTTTTTTTAAGTGTTTGTTTACCCATGACTATGTGTAGATGTTCACAAGAATTAGACTTTTATATGACCTGCTATAAACATTATGTAACATATTGAAATAAGAATATCTATCTATCTAATATGAACACTGACTCATTCCAAGATTGATAATTGTGAACATATTTTTTTTACTGAATACATTTTATCAAAGGTCACAGCTTCAAGGTTCTTGCTGGGGTACCCGGCTTCTCTAAGGAAGTTGGTATGAGATTGTGTGGTACATAAAAGGATCGTAGATGTCGACGGATCTGACTTATATACCCCAACGGATGAGTAACAAATTATTGCCAATTCAACAATTATTTCCACATTTGCGAACAGCAGATTCTGGTTGGAGAGACCTATGGGTTCGTTAAAAATCCCCTTCATCAAATTCAAACTAACACTGAAGTGGGCGCCACCCAACTTTGTGGAAATATAAGTAGCAACCATTCATGAAGCTGGGAAATTGAATAGGACAAGTTGATAGAAAAGAGGCGTAAAGTAATAGCATAAAGTATTCGTGAATACGATATGGATTTTCATCAAGTATCAGCCAATTCCATCAAATATAATAGCATAAATATAAATATGCATACCTTCATATTTAATTCCCTCACAAACAAAGGCCATTGAAATATGAATTTGAAAATAATTTGGAAAAAGCTAAGAACCAAATTTTGCAAGATGAGGTCACAACATAGATGAAAAATGCTTATCAATAGAACTATGCATCAGCTCACAACATTATGTATCATAAGCATAATTTTTTCAGATAATTATATTGAATACTTTATCAATAGGTTTTTTGTAGGAGAATGAAAATATAGTTTCTCGTTTCAAAATAACATTATGACATTATTGATTCTTTCCACATGAGTCTAGTCGAGTTGAACTCATCAGCCTATGTCCTTAAAATAAAAAAAAATGCCATAGTAAGTTGATTAGTTTCACTTTTTCCAAAATGAAATACCAATAATAAGACCTATATTAACGTACAGAGCCATTGCATGGGGATCGAAAGTTCTACAAGCAACGACCATCCAAAAGTTATATCAAATAGAGCGACTGGCTTGTTTAAACATTACAGGAGCCATGAGAACAACACCAACCTCGGCAATGGAATTAATTACGGGTCAGACCCCTCTGGACCTGTACGTTAAAGAGGTTGCGTTAATGGCCATGTTACGATTGCGCACGGCTGGTATGAACCTCGAAGTAGGAATGGGTCAATTGAGGCTGAGCCTATGGCAAGAGCGCTTACTGCGCAACCTCTGTTGCAGGCAACCAGTGATGTAATTGAACCCAGGTTTGTGTTTAATGAACCCTATAAAATACAAATGAAACAGAACACAGAGTCAGATGCTACAAATGCAATACGCATATATACAGACGGCTCAAAAACCAAAAAAGGCTCAGGAATGAGGAATGGGAAAAAATACCAGCGTGTTCCATACATAACAATCTGCACTGACAGCAGTCAAGCCCTATTAGCCTTGAACAGACAACGTGTTACCTCAGGGCTAGTACTAGAGTACCACTAAGATTTAGCCAAAGCCTCGGTAAATGATAACATTATCCCGAGGTGGGTTGAAAAGCACGACAGGGGAAAGGTAATCGCATTTCCGACTCTTTAGCCAAGGAAGCGGCTGGACTAAGAATTTTAGGAGCCAGTGGCACCTACGGCCTGATGACTTCGACAATTGCGGAAATAGCCAAATGTTACACCCATGCTCAATCCCTAAAGAGATAGAATGGAATCAAACGATGCAGTGTTGCCAGGATCACATCACTCTGGGAGACCCTGGGAAGCTGGCGCCGAAGAATTATCTGGCGATAACCAGGAAAAATCTACACCTAACAGTAGGATTTCTGACTAGCCACTGTCAACTAAGGAAACACCAATATGATATGGGGCTAGTGGATACACCTCTATGCAGAATGTGTGAACAGGAAGATGAAGTTGTCAG